TTATACGTAGATTCTATTTTATTTTCAGCCTAATAAACAGGAACTTGTGATGACTGCTACTCTGATCGCATTACCACAGCGGAATCCGCCTCAATCCATATTATCGCGTCACATGTGCCATGCCCAGCTGGGTCAGTACAAAGAAAGCGTGGAATAGTAGAAACGATAGCTAATGGTCATGACCACGACTTCCCAATTTGTATGTGACCACTTTATCCAGATCGTTCGCTGATTGGATAACAGTCGGTTGAGTGACATCCTAGCATGAGCGAGCCGGCAGCTCAGACTGGATTCGAGTCAGTCGTCTCAATCAGCCGCTCGATTTTAATGCAAATGTTTCAGACGTGTCATTTATCTATGCTAACCGTTGAAGTTTTTATAAAATCTACCAAGGTCCTGCAATAAACAAGGAGGGCAATTCTGTAATTTTTCGATAGAAAGTTTCGATGCAGATAATGCGGCAAACCTTGACTAACAGGAGCGAGTTTCAAAAGTGAAAAGTACCACTATCTACTTATTCCTAGTTTATGATCCTGAGATGAACAAACTAATAGAAGCATCTGCTCAACTTCCGACACAATAGTATCGGCGTTCAAATTTTAATTAATAGAAGACACAGCTCAGGACAAAGGTAGAGTTGAATGGCAGATGAAGGATTAGGAAACACGCCGGGAAAATTTGTTCGGACGGCTGCTTCACACATTTATCCACCGATCGCCAAAATTGCATGAAATAGTCACAATGGCCCTTGGGAACACTAAAGGGATCTGCATTTTGGCAATTCGGTAGATAAAAAGCACCATCGGGTTCGTTGTAGCACAAAGCATGGGATGGAATCACTTGGTGACCGAGTTGCCATCTTAGATACTTAAGTATTCTAGGCTCCTCGGCAGTCGATACAATCCAGAGGAGTAGACCAGAGGATGCGTCCTACTTAATCCTTACTCGAAACCCCCAGAACGTACGGAGGGCGTGATTATAGCCCTTGAATTACATCCCAGGCTACTTTCCCCCTTATATTTGCCTGGCTTCTCCCTCTTGGCCTCCGACCTCCACCGTGCTATAAATAGCAAAATACAATTGAGGACCGAAGGAAGAAATTTGGAAGGTTTATCAAGGCAGCAGCTTTTTGCCGTCTTTTAAAATTAGTATCCAGTCAATTTGTTCCCCATGTGAGAATTTTCCCCGCTGAAAATATATTTTTACTGGCATAATTGAAGAAATTCCGTGAAGTGGTCTTGTCAGGCAAGAAGTAATGTCTTCATGAATGAGGTCAAAGAAGGCGTGCGAGAAAGTTCTCGTTCGAAGGGTTATTCTTTCACCGTGCGTCTTGTTTAGTAGATGTGAATGAAAATTGTGATCGTGCATTATCGAGCGTATGGTACCTTGCATAATTTGCGAATATAACGACAATATTCTATATTCGAATATGTATCATCTTGATAAACGTTTTCTACTGCTTGAAAAGGTTCTCTAAAAATTCCACCACTTATATGGGCTGCCTTCTGTAAATCCAATCTTTAAATGTTTATAGGATGTGTTACCTAGAATAACTTTGTTATGATCCCTTCGCAGGATATAACCTCATGTAAAACAGTAAAAGTAGGAAACATGGAAGTAGCTAATTTAAAACTAAAATGATATTTCTTGGTTTTGGAGTCCGATCAGATATATTTGACCAGTAAAAAATATCTCTATAGTAGCGGGGAGTCTGAAAAACTTCAGACGTCTTAATAAGTCAAGATAAAGCTGCTCCATTTTTAAGAGATTGGAAAGAATCCTGTGGATGTCACTAATGAGAGCTTTACAACTTGTCTACATTCTCTCTGTTACCGTCATACCTTTACTCGTCATTCCAAGGTCAGTCAAAATTTAATGGCAGACCTATTACTGTACCATCACGTCTCTGCAAAATAGAACACGGCGTCGAGCACGAAAACAGTTAAACCTTCCTGAATTCATAGTCTGTTGGTAAATGAAAACAAACTTGGTTTAAGCGTTCCAGGAGTCTGATCGTCATGTAGCACTGGCGGCCATGGGCATCAACCTACCTGACAGTCAGGAGATTGAAGAGCAGGCGGCTACTTACCCCCCTCCCCCCAGACCGATGAAAAGTAACTGATTTAATCTTCTGAACTATGTCACTGGCTCATGCCCAATTGGCATTTAGGCCAGGCGACATATTGTGGTTGCAAGACCTAAGGAGTACCCGCTCAAGGTAGGCACACAGAGCTGTAAGCAACAATGAAGCCTTAGTTATGGGTAATGCGAAAAGAATGCATGAACTGAGGTTCATAAGAAAGAAGAGTTTCCAACGTACTGCTTTGGGAGTAAAGAAAAACTGGGTCCCTTTCGAGGCCTCGGGAAAACTGGTCTGCTGTGCCGGAGTCCTGTTGAAAAGTAGTTGAGCTCTCGGGCGGGGACCCACCTTGACTAGATCAGGGTTACTCTGTTGCTGGTTTGTAGACTCCTGTAGCACACGAGACACATTAAGACGGGTCATTACGCGATTTTGCATTTCACTAGGGAGCATACTAGGTGGGCTCGATTCCTTCCGAGAAACAGTTTGCTGTGGTGGATCATCGGCGGCTTTGGTGCGATTTGGTGGCACCAGAGGCGCAGAAATTGGCTTTTCAATCACCGTCTGGCGAGCCGGTGGATCCTCGCATTCCATCGCAGTGAGTGCTGCTGGTCTCAGGGTGCTGGTCTTGTATGTTACGCTGGAGAGGGTGTGGGCACCATGGTCAGCAGAGCACATGGAACGAAGGTAGGCAGCATAGAATGAAAACTACTAGCACAGTACTGTTGGCACAATTCGAATTTTAGTCCGCTAATGCAGTTTGCAGTGAATGAAGACAGTATTGATCACGAAACCTTATTAAGAGCTACAGTGTGCTAGGGTCTGGCGCTTATGTAAATAGGGGTGATACACCGAAGGCGTCAATAGTTTAAGTAATTACACTGCTTCCAGAAATGTTCACTGAAGTCCTGAAATATGTTTTCGTTGAGAACAGACTATTTAAATGAGTTTGTAATACTGATTATCGTCCAGCAGGATACTTTTAACCTTGCTAGAATGGTGGCTTTTGTTTGTGCTTATCACTGGCCGTCTGCAAAAGCCATGCTCGTAAATAAACTAGTCAAGTATTAAGCATATTTCGCACAGTTATTTAATGTCTTTATGAAGGTGTTTCTGTTGTGCAGAAAAGACGAATGCTAATAGTCCTCCGGGTATTCATCTGTTAGTTTAGTAAGACTTTATATTTTAAAAGGATATCTCTTTTTTTAATTCCCGAAAATATTTTTTAACCAACAGGGTTCCTAGGCTACACGTTGCAGATGTTTTTTTACGCCATAAAGAGGACGAGGTATGGGAAGCATAAAAATTTGAAGGGTTTATTGACTATATTCCATGTTGCATAGACGGAAGTAATAAACAGATAAATATAATGCTGTTTAAATGCAAACCTCATAGTCCTCAACATTTTGAAACTACAAAGTTTTATGCACAACTTTAAAGATTTAATTTTCTAAAAAATGAGAACAAAAACAATTTTTTCTTACTGCTTTTAAAAATATATGTTTCATTTTAAGAAGGCAGCGAAATTTAATGTTAAACATTTTTTCTAAGCGAGGAATCGTTTCTTTACTAACTGTAATTTTTTGTACGGTCAGACAAAGGCTCTCTGAATAGCTGGAGTTTTGATGTGACTGAAAAACATTCAAATTATTATGCATGATAATCTGTATTATAATCCGACTTTAGTAATATTATCCAGTAAGAATCTTATTTCAGTAATTTTGCTGACATTTTATAAGGTTGGTCAACCACTCCGAGCGACGTCTGCGACCGTCTCTGCTGATGAGTTCATACGAGAATCCAAACGTTAGGCAAATAAACGATAGCTTTCAGCACTCGCCCCTTCTTTTCTGATTTCCAAGTACTCAAGGTTGGCTGAAGAGCCTACGACCTGTTTACACCACAGATTTCTGCAAAGGCCTACTAGAGTCACAAAGAATTCAGGATGTAACCATAATAAGTTCTGGTAGCATAAACTGAGGAATGTTAACTGGCTACTTTGTCCGAGTATAAGCCAAATAATTCTGGGTTATCGAACCCGTCTTCAAACACCGCAAGAGTAAGATGATCACTGTTTCATTGCGCCGATCTGCGTCTCAAGATAGGATGACCGGTTACGCAAAGAAACATCAAGTCTGCTGATACGTCTGGAAAATATAAAATAACGACGGCTATTGCATCCACAAATGTCACTTACCTTAATGCTACACGGACTGCCGGCTTTGAAGTACTATCGTCAAGCTTAACTATGCAAAACGATATCAAGCTGTCTTTTGATACATGAAGATAATCTGTAACTCGATAAGATGGTAAGGAGTACTAGTTTAAGCAAAGCAGGCCAGCAACGCAAGACCAGATTACTGACCTGTAACCACGCATGTTTAGCGAACACATTGTCCTGCTTCGCCCAGCTTTCTTTACAGAAGTGAAATGAGAAGCAAAAGCCACTGCTAAATCACTCAGTGCAGTTCATCAAAGAAAAAAATTGCACCGCTCTTCTGGAACCGGCGACATCTATCTGATTTTTAATCTTAACGACCAGATTACTATTCACTTAATTGTGTTCAGTAACAGTATTCAGCCGTGGATTGGCCTTCATTTGTACTCCCTAAAGGCGACCTGACATCTGAAAACGTTGTCATTGGTTCACGCTTAACTAATGCTCAACTAAGGTTCTGTCAAAGATAGTTACGGCAAAAATCTCGGGCACGCAGGGAAAGCCTTTGTGAACTTTAATAAGGGGCAGAAGCCTGGGTCATGAGCCAATATGCTCACCCAAAGCCGATACGTAAAAACTAACTTGCGCTCAAGTCACTGCACCAACCTGTTTTGAGCAAAACTTGTGCATCATCAAACTTGATGGCCGAACTGTTGCGTGCAAAACAGGGGGTTATTGATTACTCACAAGCCCATCTGGATGCTTGACCGATACAAAGCTTTATCAAGTGACCTTCAACGGCTACATCACTACTTAGCACCTGCCTGTATCTGCTGGACTGCGTCACCCGTACAGCGACAAAAGCCAACCCAGCATAATCAGCATGTTCTTTCGATCACTTCTGCGGAGGGCAAGGAAGATTGTAAGTACATATTCCCATCAGTTATGCTTACTTTAAAGAAATGATGCATGTCTAACCACACAGGTATTATTGCAGTATAGGAAATACCATGCTATTATACTAAGGTAATTCTGGAACATGTTGTGCCCTTAGTTAGACAGGAGACGTTCTGTAACTTCTGGATACGATAGCAATTCTATAGCTAGCCTGAAGACGGTAAATAGCACTACCCCGCGCGATTCAGACCTGGTAACCGTTGAGATAAGCATGCAGAAAGACGGTACCCTGAGGCTGTTCGTTGCTTACCGAAAGCTGCATCCAGTGACTACAAGAGAAGCATATGATGGACATAATCGAAATCGGTGGTCGAACTATGATCTACCTGATACCATATTGTCACTATACTGCCACTTTGTTACGACCTAAATTCATGGTAGATCTTCAGCTAGTACTAAATAAACGTTTCCTTAACCATTCAGCTTACTAAAAGTCCTCATATAAGTAAAGGCTGCATACTAGGTTAAAAATTCCTATATGCACGACCAGGCTGCACTGTAGCTTGCCACTTACTGGCTTTGGCAAGTATGATTACTAGAACTGGCACTTCTAACATCGGCACAGTGCTTCTAGCATTAGCATCGTAGTCCTAGTAGCTTAAACTTAAGGAACCAACCAGGGCAAGCATTGATGTACTTCGAGTCTCAAACACTTACTCTACTCGGAATAGCGGAAATCTAGGTCCCTACGCCTACTTGATATAGAGGGAACATGGACCCAGAACTGACTTCAATCAATGTCATTTCTGGCTAAATATTAGCGACAGTAATAGTAACAGCCCTACAATCACTCGGGTACCTCGCTAGAAGCAGCAGTATAAACAGTAGTTTCAGTAGTATAAATACGAGACTCGGGCTCCCCGAATATTTCTGGGCACCTACTATGGGTGGGTGAGGCTAAATAGTGCAGTAGTACTGCCGCAAAAGGCTACTGTCACTTAAAACTAACTTAGGCGATGTTTCTGGCTGCATTGGAGAAAGCTTCTTACGCCCGATTCCTGCTCGCTCATCTTGACTTGGTCTTGTCACCGGTTCAAGCGGGGAGAGAAGGGGGGAGATAGCTGCGCGTCTACTTCCATTATATCTGACTACAGTCACTGTCCCTGCTCTTGGGTATATGAAGGACATCATCGATTACAATGGTCGAACTAACACACAACACCTGCGGTAGATATATCACTTCTTCAATTGCTTACCGAAATTCAAAAATTGGTTATTGATTAGAAAGGCTTGCATCATTAGGCTTATAATCGTAATTATCCTGCAGCATTAACCTTGGATATTTCAGTCGCATCAGCATGCCGACTTCCAACTATGCTTCGTTCCGATCGCCTGTACTATGGACTTTTCCCACTGTCCTTATCAAAATAAATATATCTCATAAAAATCCTGCAAAAGAGCAGTCTTTCTAGCATTCAGTTTGTAGCAGATTAATTGTTTATTCAATTTCATACTTTACGGAAGGGGATTTTTTCGGTGTCAAAAAGTTCTATTATGAGATTTTCAAGACCATGAACTTCTCATTTTTAAGGCCCCGTATCTGTCCATTTATTAGTGCTACTTGCAAAATATACAACTTGATCGATGTCTACCATAAATTTTCATGAGCCATTTGAGGCCTTCATAACAAAACATCAAATGTATAATTTTCTTTAGGCGTTTAGAAAACCTTAGTGCAAGTGTAACATTAAGTCGGGTTTACAAATACTCGGCATTGAAATGCTTTTCTAATGGAAGGTTCGTTTTTCTTTAATTATAAAATTTGAAGATCAGGTAGTCAGCTACTTACTTACCACAAAAGAGATGTTCCTCTATATGGTTCCCAAGAAATATATTTAAATTCGCAAGGGCATCGAAATCAACGATGGTGCTTATTTCTACATAAGTGATCCCTTTGACGGGCTGTAGCTTTTCTGGGTGCTCGGCAATAGGCTCATTCAAAAACCGATGCCCTGACGTGACCGAAATACCTAGGAATTATGCAGTATGATAGTTACTACTTCAGTCCTAGGAAAAGAAGTCTATCTATCAGAATTTTGGTTGACATTCACTGAAATACCACATCTACTTTAGTTATGTGAGTACTAATGTGGCATCTGATATCGGGACTGAGAGCCATCTCTACTTAACTAGTCATTCAGAAGAAGATAGAGCGT